ATAAAATGTTTTTCCATATTAAAGAAAATAAAAGGAAAATGCAATTATTGATCTAACAAGTAAACTGAGATATTTTGATAGCTCAAAAAAAATTTTTCTGGATATATTTTCAAAAGAACCAAAACTGCTCATAAATCTCTTCATATAATATTTTTTCAGTTTGAAGAACAAAGAAGGGAAATGCAATTATTGGTATAACATCTAAATTGAGACATTTGTAATTGCTCAGTACAAATTCATATGGATATATATTTCTGAAAAAAAATCAATTGTGTTTGTAATACTCTTCATAAAATGTTTTCTTAGATTGAAGAAGAGAAACAAGAAATGCATTTTATGATCTAACATATAAATTGAGATGTTTGTAACAGTTTAAAATAATTTTCATGGATATATTTTAAAAAGAACCAACAATGCTCGTAATATTTTCTATAAAATATTTTTTCAGATCAAAGAAGAGAAAAGAGAACTACAATTACTAATCTAGTAAGTAAATTTAGAAATTTACAATAGATCAAAATAATTTTTCTAGGATATATTTTAAAAGGAACCAACACTACTCATAATTCTTTTCATAAAATGATTTCTTAGTTTGAAGAAGAGGAATGAGAAATGTAATTACTAATATAATATCTAAACTGAGATATTCACAAGAGCACAAAACAAATTCTCATAGATATATTTTAAAAAGAACTAATAGTGTCGTAATACTTTCTGTAAAATGGATTTCCATATTAAAGTGAAATGCAATTACTGATTTAACATGTAAACCGAGATATTTGCAACCACTAAAAATAGTTTTTATTGAATATATTTTCTTAAAAAAATAACAATGCACGTAATTCTCTCCATAAAATACTTTTAAGTTGAAAGAAAAATGCAATTATTGATCTAACATCGAAACTAAGATATTCACAAGAGCTCAAAATAAATTCTCATGCATATTATTTAGAAAGAACCAACATTTCTCGTAATACCCTCCATTAAATGCTTTTCTTAATTGAAAAAGAGGAAAGAGAAATGTAATTACTAATCTAACATGTAAACTATTATATTTACAATAGAAAGAGAAGAGTTATACCACCAACAGGTAAGCCGATAAGCACAAAGAAAGAGAGGAGTTATACCACCAAAGCACCAAAATCACCAAAGTATCAAAACCAACAAAACACCAAAAACATCTCAAGTAAACCAAGAAAGACATAGCTAAAAGAAGTAACAAAGTAAACGACCAAAATCAAACCACCACAAACAGAAAAAAATGGGAGGAATTATCATACAAAGAGAGTAGAAGAGAGACAATGACAATGGGAA